CACTCTTTCACATCGATTGAAATTTATCATAAAATTTTGTGCCTCCTACTTATTTATTGAAGATTACCTATGATTTGGTAATTTTCAATTAATTTTTATCAATATCAATAGCAAAAGAGCGTGTCAAAATTAGTATATTATTAGAGGACCACAAATATATCGGTTCTCTCACTCCATGCAAGGAGAGGTTAATTGGAACGTCTTTGAAAAGGTAACTTCTTAATTGTATACTCTCTTTGATCTGCTTAGGGCATAATCCAACATTGAGCCACATGCCTTTCGCTTTCAGCTATCATGTTGCTCTTCTGGATTTCGTTCATCATGTTGATTTAATAGTCTCAACAACGTCGTATTAAATTAAAATAGCCTATTGCTGTTGAATGATTGTATGTGTAAGTGCAACGTGTTTCAACCTTATTCGTTCTTGTCTCCCGGTCAAAACCTTAATCGTCTAAGAAGAAAAAAAGGAGATTCCCAAAAGAGTGATGAATTAGACTAGCAATTAACAAAGATGATTGAAGGGCAAGTTATTAAAATATAAGATGGAAAGGGTTGAATCTTGTGTCATGTTCCATTGAAGAGAGGCTTGTGGTCGTGTGTGGGTGATATATAATAATCATTCTCCTTTGACGTGATGAATGTGAATGAAAAATTCAAAATGGCAAGCTACCCTTACATGTCTAGAAGTCCATCTTCACCTTATAACACGTTCATTCTACCATCAAGATCAACGCCACGACACGACTTGATGGCAAGATAAGAGTTGAGTTTCAACTCTCATCTTTTTCTGGTCGCATGAAATATAAAATACATTAGATGTCGTATGATGCAATGCAACCCCTTTGACGCATTTTCATCATTTCAAACCCAAATTGTGGAATTAATTAGACTTCAAAAATGTTGCTTAAATTTTTTAATGTAAGAAATAAAGTGGAAACTAATGCATTTAGTTTAAAAGCAATAGGTAAATTTTTTTTAAGAGAAATAATAGCTTTAAATATAATGTTAGTCTCTGCAAAATTGATGAATTTTGATTTTGATTCTTGTAATTTTTTTCTCATCTTTTTCAAATTTATAAGCATTTTTTATCCTTGTAAAATAATTTATTTATTTTTTGTTTTTGTAAAAAAATTTGTTAATTTTCATCCCTTTAAAATTTAAATTTATTATTTTTATTCCTAACAGTTATTTTAAGATAGATAAATAATATTTATTTTAAGAACCTATAGAAAAATTTAGAAGTGTCACACACTAACATAATATCACACTAAAAAACGAGGATAATGCCTAAAATGATTATTTAATTTTTTAAACAAACAAGTAGTTAAAAATGATTACATAATAAAAAAGATTAAAAATAATAATTTTAAATTTTAGAGGGACAAAAAAATTACAAATATCAAAATCAAAATCAACTTATTATGGAAATATTAAAAACATATTTAAGTGAAAATAATATTATTTATTTGTTTGGTTAAAGAAAAATTAAAAAAAAATAGATGAAAAATAATATTATATATATTTGATTGGATTGAAAGAAATAAATAAGAATCAAATATATGAAAAATAAAGAAAATAGAAATGAATAAATAAGAAAGAAATAAAAATAATAAATAATAAATAATAATATTTAAAATTAATTTTAATTATTCACAACAAAAATAATTAATTATTTATACGTCTATAAATTATTTGATTTAATCGATTATAAAATATAATGTAAACGTATGAAAAAGTTACTGTTTGAAGTCTAAAAATCAAATGTAATCGATTAAATATATGTGGTTAATCTATTAAATCGTATTGAAATTGTTGTATCGTATGCGAAGAGCAAATTCAATCAGTTAAATATAAATTTAATCGATTAAATTTTGGGTAACGCATATTTCTACGTTATTTACACGCTTTTCAATGACTCACTAGTTTTTTTTTTTTTTTTTCCTCACATTTCATCTCGAGATTCTTAACTAAACACGACTGGTCATATTTTTTCGTTTTGGCCGCGTTAAATCTTAGAACCAGCTATCTCACCTTTTAAAGTGTTTTCAACGAGAAAATTAGTCATTAATAATGATAGATACTTTATGGGACGAAAAAAAAGAGGATCTTTTACACCAACGTCATGATTAAAATAATTTATTAAAATTTAAAATGAATTCTCAACTTAATTTTCTATAAATTAACGTGCACCTCAACCTCTTAAAAAGACGCATGGATATTATCTTTCATGGAAAAAATGTAAAGGCAGTAAAGCTTATAAAATTTAACCTGTCGCCATTAAAGGTGAAAATTTTGTTTTTTAAAAATTTGATTTCCTAAGATACATCGATAGTCATGTGTTCTTTAGAGTCGTCAAACACTAAGAATTATTATTTAGAGATTATATTGAACGCATATATATATATATATATATATATATATATATATAATAGTAAACGTAAACTCATAGTGATAAAATAATCAAAATTGTCGTACAAGCATGTTGCACGCTAGCTCAAGACCTTAAATTACGGGATAAATTAAAATATAATTAATATGGTTAGCATCGTGAAGGAAGCAAAGTTTGAAAATTAAAATATTTAATACTTATTATAACAATGTGAGTTATAAAGTATTTTAGTTGTTTAAATTATATGTTAATTGTTGTACCGAAGTGCTGCTCTAAATTGATATACTTTAAAATTTAAGGATTTCTTATGAATTTAAATAGTAATAGGAGTTTTTTTATACAAAAATTTAATTTAACCCTTAAAAGAGGAGTATGAAATTTTTTTGTTTTGAATTAAATTTCATAAGTTCAAGTCTTCAAAAACCTAAAGAAAGAAAGTTTAGAGAAAAGTGTTATACTCTGTGAGCTTCTTTCTCTTCTAGATTTTCTCTTTCATGATGATTCCTTTTTCCTAAATTGATTCTTGTGGTGTTGATTACTATTTTTGATCAGTATGAACTTGAAACTAGAGGTGTGTTCCTTACGAAACATCTCGAGGTTGTGTGGAGTTTTCTCTTCTTTTGCCTTCTCATTTTTTAGTTGATCTTTAGGTAAGAGAAGCTAAATCATTGTTCTTAATTGAACTGTTGAATTGTTAAATTATCCATAAGCTGAATGTTATGTAAATTATGAGATCTAGGCTTAGTGGTTGTGTTGGTTGAATTGAATGAGTTGCATGTTTGAGAGGGGTATGTTTTTGGTGCTTTAAGCATGTGTGGATAAGTTTGAAGATTTGATCAACATGATGGTTGCATGTTAGTTATGCCCGTGATTTTGAGTTGTTGGAAGTATATATATGTTGATTATGTTGTTACATGTTTGGTTTTCTAAATTTTAGGTGAAGGGAGACAATTTTTCCCAAGTTGCATGATTGGTAACATTGGACATAAGGAAAGAGACTTGTCTCGAGTTGTAATGACATCGGGTGTGATATGAATATCACCGAACAAAAAGAGTTGAGAGGTCTTTAACTTAATGAGTTGGGCCCCGGTTGAGTGACACCCAACATGGCCAAACCTAAACTATCTACTTGGACAGCTTCAGGTGCAAGTATAGTGACATTGAGTGTGAGTCACATAAAGACTTTATGCTTAAAATGAGGTAAAGCATGATACTTTGTCACGCTAGTTGTGAGGTCCCGGTGGCCTCTACCCTATCCATGTTGGGTGCAGGTTGTGTGACGTTGAGTGTGAGAGAGGCAAAGAATTCCTTACTTGAATGGCATCGAACATTGATTGTTGAATGCAAACTTGTTGTTTGGTTAATAAAATGTTGAATATGAGTTGAATATATTAATCTATAATATGTTTTAAGTTGCTTAACGTTGATTATTTAAGTTACATATATTAGTAATTTTAATAATAATAAATATATATTATTTAATACATAAATGAAAATTATAATATATGTAACTTAAATTCTCTTTTTTACGAAGTTACAATTATTTATTGAAATAAAAAAAATTAAAGTAAAATATTGTATAATTAAATAACTAATATAGTACAATTACAATATTTGAGAGATTGTTAAGAATCAAAATTACATAATTATAATATTTAAAACCCTAAAATTACATAATTAAAACTTAAGGATCAAAGTCGTTAATTATATAAGCATCAAAGAGTGCTTTAAATTGTTAGTTTTGTAAGTAAAAAGATTTAGAGAATATTAAGATTTTAAAATTATTTCTTCCATTATTCATTTCCTACTATTTAATTTTATTATACATAAAAATTATTTGTTCATCCATGTTAAAATTATTTGCAATTTTTAGTATATTCTCTATCTCTCATTTATTATTTGGGTAAATCTCTTTTTTAATTTTTAATAACGACGTACTAGGAGCTGTAAAAAAATAACAATATCTTAGAAAAAATAACAATTAACAATATCATTAAATTTTAAAGTACAGATAAATAATTTATTTCCGATGAGAAAGAGAGGTAAAGATAAACAAAAGTAGTATTATTCTAACCTGAAATGGGTAACTGCGGTCTGCGGTCGAGATAGGGATAGCCTCGATTGGATGCATGATCTAGGTAGAATTCTGGCATAACTAGATAGAATTCAGAAAGAGTGAAACAAGTAAACAAAAGAAGCACCCATGCTTCATAATTTTGTTTTAATCGGAAGCGGCAACGCGTGCACCGCAATTATTGAAACCCAGGAGAGAAAAATTTACATATGCTCAACCTCAGACAAAAAAACACACACTCATGACTCTTGTATATTTACAAAACTCTGTCACTGTAAAAACACCAACCCAGCAAATTCAATTCGATTCGATCACAGTACAAAGTAAAAAATAAAAATAAAAAAATAAAAATGCCACGTCATCACCCTCGGAAGCACTCTTCTAAGGCCTGGGTCCCACTCCCACAGAAAAGACTCGCGAGTCGTGGAGATTTTTATATGAATTGGTTTCAGTTTCAGTTTCAGAGGGCCCCACTTCGCGGTTCCCTCGCAGAGTGGTTTAGCTTGGCCAATACTATCGCGGCACGTGGCTCTCGGAATCACCCACTCCCACCCCCCACGATTCAGACCGTCTCCCAGACGCGAACCGCGTCATGCCACCCAAACCGGGCGGTTCGCTCTCCGACACGCTGCTTCGTCGCGGCACCACTTCCTCGTACGACACGTCGTTCACGCTCACGTTCTTGGTGGCAACATTCGGATCGGCTTTCCGCTCCCTCCGGTTTGAGCGGAAAATGGCGCAAAGAGAGTGGAAAAAACCCGGTTTTTTTGTGGTTGTGTTGCGGGAAGTTTTCCGCTTGGATCTGACCCTCCCCATGCAGGAGACTTTGGGCGAGGAGGGTTCGACGAGAGCGGAGTCCGATTTTCCAACCGAAACGGTGCGTTTGGGGAACAACCTTATGTTGCTTGGCTTGTTGTGGTGGCGGCGGTTCTTGGCGTCGACGAAGGAGGTTTTGTGGGGCTTGGGTAAGCCAATGATGGTGGAAGCCTTGGACTTGAAATTGAGGGAGAAGCGCTGGGAGCTGTTGTTGGAGTTGGTCCCATGGTTTGAACTTGAATTGGCCTTCGTTGACTCCTTCCGCTCGTAAACGGCGTTCCGGTCCCACCACTCGTATTCCTCGTCCCTCGACAGCCACACCGACTCCGGCGGCGACTCCGGCTGCCGCTCCGTCGTGGCCAGGCTCTCGCACGCTATCTTCCGCTCGCTCGATCCCCCCGCGCACGCCGACACCAGTGTTTCCAAATCCACCTGAAGCATCGAGACTCCCAAGGGCCCAGGAAATTGCTTCAGGATTCTGCTTGCGACTTTGTGGCAACGTGTGGTGTGAAGAGAGAGAGTATATATAATTTGGAGGCAGAGCTTTCATGTCATCTTTCAACTTCCTTACTCCTCTTTTCTCATGCTTTTCTTCCCTTTTCTATTTCACATCACAACTATTCATCTTTAATTATATAATATTACTTTTTTATTGGTGTAAGCTAATATTTTTGGATTTTGTGTGAAACCAAATCTTGTCAGATCATTTTGTAGCGGAATTTCTCATCTAACCAGGTTCATGAATCGTAACAATTTTTTTAAGCATGTTATTAATGCAAAATAGATTTCAAGTTTGTAAGGAGTTTTTTTTTAAACTATGTTTTTACTTAAGAAAACAGTGTTTTGTTGAAGTAATATATTTAATTGTATAAGTTGAACTTTTATACTATTAGCACATGAATTATTTTATAAAAAAATATTTTCAATTAATTATAAATAAGGGTTTTTTTTTGTTTGTTTTAGTTTCTGTTATTAGTTTTATGATTGTGTAAAACCATCCCTGAAACATTAAAAAAAGGAATGGTATAAAACAAAAACATTGAGAAGGTAGTTGTAAGTAGTATCAAATAATAACATAAGGTTTTATGGCTTATGTAAGTTGAGTATTTCCTCTTTTAGGAAGGAAAGAATGCACATGATCCGTGATTTACCTTTTCTAGTTTTGGGGGATAGGGAAAACAAGGAAGAAAAGCATCGTTTTTCTTTTCAGTGGGTTTATTTTAAAACAGTGGGTTCTAAACTTGTATTCTCGTTTTGCTTCTTTCCTTTTCCATTCTTTCCCCCCTTAAATTGCTAGCGGTTGTTTGTTTGATGGCTCGGATTGGCTCTCTTCATTGCTTGCTGGTTGGTTCGGCATCGTACTCCAACATAATGTTCCGTTTTTAATGATGTTAACTTACCCGTGGGTGATCCAAAAATGTACATAATAATTAGGTTAGTTATGCCATGATGGAAGCTTACAACTCTTTGCTACCATTTTTATTTATTTATTACAATATGTATAGGTATTATATAATGAAACTTATGTATTGTCATTCAAAAAATTATTAAATTGAGGTATCTTTACAAGATAGGCATATTCACGTGGACATGTATGAGGGAACATGTTACGTTATTTTATTCTATCTAATATCTGTATTCCTTTCTCTCTCTTCCTCCCTATCTTCACTTGATACGAGGGAATGAAATAAATATAAGCATTTGTTTGGTTACTGAAAAATTGTTTCTCAATTATTAATTGCAGGACGTTACATTAATTCCTTTTCTATAAAGGATTTTTTTAAATTCATTTATGTTTAATAAAATGTTGTATTCTTAAAAAAAATCTATAGATTTTTAAATGATTGATTTATGAAGGCCACTTTAACCTGTATTTTAACTAATTTGAGACCTCAAATAGAAATAAATTTTTAATTATTTAAACTAATAATATTATATTCGATTTGAATCAATTAGTTCAATCAGATGACACAAAAATCAACCAATTTACTGATTCAAGCCAATCATTAAACCAACTGTGACTTAGTTTGATTCAGCAAATTTGGCCCAAAATCGATTACTTGACTCGGTCAGGTTAATGCACTTTTTTTTTTTAATTTTAGCAATACGACGTTTGTGTCTCTCCTCTATTCATCTGGTTAATTCATTCGTCACTCTCCTTCATTGCACAATTTCAACCACATCGCACAACGCTTGTTGTCTGTTCTCTCTTGTAATTGTGAACCCTGACAACGGTGGTATAACCTTGTTACTATAGTGAGTTCATCATCTTCTCAATGTACAATGACACAACCTCCAATATTTGTCATCGTTCGTCATCTATCCCCATCATATAGCGACGAGTTTGTCATCTGCTCATTTTGCTCTAGTGATGTCTTTATGGAAATTTCATAACATCTTTTTACTTTTTTATAATATTTGTTGGAGTATAAATTTTACATGTTGTCAATTATTTATAATTTTTTAATATAGATCAAGTCATGCAGGTCAATGGATGAATAAGTAATTTGATCGCTGACATTCTGACCTAATTATTTATAATCTTAAAAAATATTTTTTAAAAGATTTTTTAAAATGCTAATAACAACTGTTAAAAAATACTCTTATTTAATATAAATTTTGTAGTTTATACGTACAAAAATAGAGAATTGTAAATTATATTTATTGTAATATATATATATATATATATAGTTTTAAATAATTGAGGAAAGAGGGGTTGGGGCCATAACTTGTCCTTCCTCAACCTGACATCGATTTAATCCGGAACTGAAGATCCATACTGGTCATGGAGTTATTTGCTTCTCAGTTCTCACAGTTGCCATGTACATATAACATTACATTAGTATTATACAATATTTCCATTACAACAAAACTAAACCCTAAACTGTTAGTAACAAAAATAATCGGATTCAATAATATGTATATCGCATATTCTAAACTCTTAATTTTGTTCCAAAAAAAGAAGAGAGAGAGAATAAGAAAAAGAATAAATAATAGCAAAAGTTAAATCAATAAAAAAAAATCCATTATTTTGACCAAATAAACTCCATACATGGCTTCACTTTTATTTTTGGAGACTGATAAAATAAAAATAATAAAATAATTTAGAGCCTTCTATAAACCTCTAGACTGCGACGAATCATTTAAAAAACTATTATTCGTGTGGTTGGTTGAAGAATAGTCATCCTCATTTTTTTCTTCACGGAAATTAGTTATGTACCAACCTCACATCATTCATGTTCAATACCCTCTTTTTTTTTTTCTTTTTTTTTTTTCCTTTTCTTTCTCTCACCTATGCTCCTAAGATATTATTATCAGGTAATCGACAACTATTAAGGGCAAAAAATCTCAATTATAAAAATTTAATTACTTAAATTATTAAAAAAAATTAATAACAGCTAATCAAATGTTATATAAAAATTAATTAAAAATCATGTGGTATAAGATCACCAAATGTTTTTTCTTGTTCGATTCTTTTCTCTCTTGTATTCTTTCCTTCACATACTAACAAAAGATAAATAGATTCAACTTTCTATTGGTTGTAATTGTAGAACAAAATTAAAACCTAGGACAATATATATATTATTCGCCTAAATGACTCTAGTGTTTCTTTGGTAGATGATTTAATTGTATATTGATATTTACATGTTATTTTTTTTTACTTAATTATGTTTTTTATTATTCTAATATTATGGTTGTGTGATTTTTATCTCTAAAATTCTATTTCAGCAATTTTAACTTTTTAAGTATCACTATATCACAATTATATAATTTTAGTCTTAAATTTTAATTAAATAATTTTAGTTTTTTAAGATAACGTAATTATATAATTTTTGTCATGTTTAAGTTACATATATTATAACTTATATATATATTACATTATATATTTATTATTACTAAAATTACTAATATATGTAATTTAAATAGATAAAAATTTATATGATTTTTTGAGAAACTAAAATCAACAATTGACGTACTTCAAGAATTAAATTACTTAATTAATAATCGAGAGACATAAATTGTACAATTATAATTATTAAAAAATTAAATTAACTGAATTAAAATTTGAGGGATGAAAAGCACACAATTAATATATTTGTGGAATAAAAATATAATTAACTTTTTTTATAAATAAGAAATAAAATTATGAATTTAAAAAGAAAAACACTCACTCTAAAATAAATATTGTACCATTTTTAAGAGTTGTTTTTTTAAATAAAGTCTATTATTTATTTTATCACTTTTAAAATTTTAAGAAGCTGATAATTACGAAAATTTCAATTATATTCCTAATTCTAAATATTCCATACATTCATCATGAAATTTAAGAGAGAAAAAAAAGATATTAAATGAAAGAAAAATTAATTAATTAAATAAGGGAAGGATATAATGAGAAATTAAATACTCCTCTTTGTTTCTATATCTCTACTTTTTAACCTGATTTTTAATTAATTTTACATATTTGTAACTATTTTGTATTTATTCTGAAATAAAAAAATGGTATAATAAAAAAATTCAAAGTGTTTTATTAATTTTTTTTACGTATCTTAGTTTGTTTTAAAAAAGAAAAAAAACAAACAACACTTAAGAAGAAAAAAAGAGATAGTAACAAATTTAATGAGAACAAAAAGAATAATTTTACTTTTTATTTAATGTATCTCAAATTTTTAAAAAACAATTTTTAATACTTTATTTTGTACATTAACTTTTTTATAATTTTTAATTAAATTCTTAAACTGAAAATAAAATGTAATTATATTATTTATTTTTATATATATTTTTATAATTTAATTCCTAGAAGTTAAGTTTACAGGGAATTGCTGCCGTATACCCACATGTCACGTGGTTCACGGCTGCATCAGTATCTTGTAACTGCTACACTGGTATAAAATCATAGTTTTAAAAATTGGACCGGTCATCGAACCGGTTAAGATACTGGGTCAGTGAGTCAAAGGTTGAACCCGTTGAATCGCATGACTCAGTTTTTATTTATTTCTATTAAAAAAATATTCATATTAAATATATTTTATACTTATAAATTTTAATAAATTTATATCTTATTTTAAATTTCAATTTTTTTTTTTTAAAAAGAAAAAAAATGGTTCAACCGGTTTGACCACTCGTTCACTGGTTGAACCAAAAAATTGACCGGTTCAATCCAGTTTGAAACGGGTCAACTACATAACCGATCCAACTTAAGATTCGGACCGACTGGACCACGGTTCCCGGTCCAACCGGTCCGACCGGCCAGTTCGGTCCGGTTTTTAAATCACTGTATAAAACAGTAAAAATAATACTATTTTAAGGTACTACAGTGGTTTTGTCCCGTGAAAATAATAACATTTTAATTAATTAATTAAATTTTATTTAAAAATATTAAACAAAAAAATTATTACAATGAATAAATGTTATTTTAAAATGTTAATATAATTTTATTTCAAAATTATAAAATAATAAATAATTTTCTTTAATGAATAAATATTATTTTAATGATTAATTATATTTTATTTAAAAGTAATTAAAATAATAGTAAAATTCTTTAGATTTGATGAGCAATGAAACCGACACCTTACCGGAGATTACTCAAATCGTGCTGTCTTTTTCGTTATTATTTGAATTTTGTAACCTCAGTTCTTGGCTGGGGCGGTGGCGCAGTCGTGGGGTCTACTCTTTTATTTTATAACAAAGAGGAAATTCTGGGAAGTGGGAATATTTTATTTTCTTTGTTTTCCAATAATATATACTCCGAAAGAAACAAATTTTTAGGATATATATATATATTATTTTTTATTTATTTAATTATTTTTAAACCAAGTCCCTTTCGGCTATACATCAATTTTAGGAATGCCACTGGCAGAGATGCAATGAGATGAATGCGGATTTTTCTTTTCTCAAAGTTTATATGTTATATTATTTTTGTCTTCGATATTTGTGTTTTATTTCTGTTCACATTGGATATCGAATATATTTATCTCAGCTCATACTTATCTAAAGAATAACTAAATATATTTTTTAATATATATAATTCAGTATAAAGTAATAACTACATAAAATTTTACACAAAAAAAAATTACAGAAATTTCAACTAAATTCTAAAAAAGTAAATTATTTTTTTTTTAAATTTAAAATAGGAATGAGGACAAGAACAGGAACGAGTAAATATATATCATCCTGATTCCATACAGATCAACATTTTATTGTTTTATAATCAATATAGTTCAACCTAACCTCTATATTGTAGTTACCTATAAATAATATATCTCAACCTTGTTCTCGAACCGTATCAATTAAAGTCTTAGAGGAGAACCTCTAGTTTGCTCATGCCCGAAGTGAATAAGGTAAAGAGTTTTTGTGTCAATCACGCTTGACATTAAATCCACACTTGACTTCATTCATCCAGAAAACTTTTGTCTAACTCATGTCCAACGTCACTACACTAGAATTTGACATCATCTAAGCAAATAGTCTTTATCTTAATCACGCTCGACATCACTCAACTAGGGTCTGATATCACCAAGTCATAGAATTTTAAAGGCATTCACACTCGAGGCCATTCAATCACGCCCAACGTGACCAAATTAGAGACTCTCCTTTAACTCCAACCTGAGCTACCAATATTGTGCCCAAAATTAATAAGGTAGAAAATATTTGGCTTGTATCACATCTGACACCTTAAAGTTGTGGTTGACGCGAAAATGAATTTTGCACTTGGTAGAACCCCAATTTGACTTTCAACACCTATAACTCAGGAAATATAATCATGCAATACAATAAAACACATTTACTTGTTATAAACAACTTATTTCTCACCAAAATAGAAAAATGTAACCACGGATTGGCTAGGATCACCAAATTCACCTTAACATGTGTTAAAAACACCAAAATCTCACACATAAAAATTTCCTCTCAATCATCAATACAACCACAATTTCAATGAAGTTTGAGTGACATACAACATCGTAGAACAACAAAAAACATAGTTTTAGTTTCCCTTATCTCTAAATCCAATAGAAAAGAGAAGAAGGGGGAAGAAAGTCGAGGTCATCCGAAGAACTTCGTACCGATCCTTCGAGGTCTTTGATTCAAAGCTTTTTAAGCTTTAATTTATACTCAACAATTCTACTACAATATTCTACAGTTTTGGGAATACTAGAAAGAAGAATGACAAATGTTAGATTATAGAGTTCCTCTCTTTAGCTTCTATCTAATTTTTTTCAAGAAACTGAACTTATAAAGTTCACTTCTAAAGAAAGGCATTATATACCCTTCCATGTTAGTTAACTTAACATATGGTTAGAGTAATTTTCCAAAACACATAACTCATTAGGATTCATAAATCCTTAGATTTCTATAGCAACTAATCAACTAAGCACAACAATATATAAATTAATAAAACAACAATTATTAATAAAACTCTGGTATTACAATTTTGATGGATGAATTTTGTGAGAGTTTTCAGTAAAACGTTCATATAATTAACTAATCCAACAATCTCACCAAAACTATTAAAATTTTGCATGATTTTTTTTTCCGTTTATTCATCCTCTAATTTTTGTCTCCCTTAATCTTTTTTTCTTCCTCTCTTTCTCCCCTTTCTCTTTTCGTGTCTCTCTCTCTCTCTTTTTTTTTTTGCCCTCTCTCTTTCTCCTCCTTTCCATTCTCATGTATTCTATATCTCATATTTCTTTTCTCTTTCTATTCATTTTTCTCATTTACTTTTCTTTTTCTCTATTTTTTCTCCTATTTTTTTATATCAATATTTTTAGTTACATTTTTATCTATCACTATTCATGTATAATTTAACAATATTAGTTTTAATTATTAAATATTTACTTTTTTAAAAAAGTTATTAAATACTTTATGTAGTTCATTTTTTAATTATTAAAATTTAACAAACCTTTATTTTTTAATAAAATTTAATATTGAAATATAATTTTTTAAACATATATTAAAAATATATTTTGATAATTATACTGATTAATGAATTACATAATTTTGAACATATTGTTTAAATTCAATAGTATGAATAAAAAAATATAAATCATAGAGGATTGTATGTAGAGAAATGTTATTTAAGATGATATGAAATCAAAATCAGATGTTTATTAAAAGATTAAAAAATTTATTAATCTTAATTTTTTTTATTCAAGTCTTGTCATTTATATAATTTTTTTTATTAATTATATTTTTTTAAAGATTCATATTATTCTTTGAAATCTAATAAAATCATTTTAAACCTTATAATTTTTTAAGAGAAAATTTCATAAAAATGCATATTACAAAATATTGATTAAAAAATTATTTAAAAAATTATTAAAAATTGTTACATTCTTACAAAAAATTTAAAAATCATTAATTCTTTACAAAGTCTTTTAAAAGTTACAAATTTTTTGTTACTAAGAAAAATTCTTTAAAATTCCAACCCAATAATACATTTTTCTAACTTTCATGATATTACACTCGATTAAAAAATAATTATTTTCATCCCTAACTTATATTATTAATAATTAATAAATAAAATAAGTCCACTTATATAAAAGTAAGTGGCTTATTAATAGTTTTGACAATCAATAAAGAATATAAAAAAATAACAATTAATACAGTTAAAAAATTGTAGATGTCTCTCTAACTTACTGGTCAGAAAAATATTATAATAATTAAATCTTAAAAATATTATAGTTATTAATTATTATCATCCATGAATATTTAAATTATTTTAATTTTAGTTTTTATTATTTTAAAAATATTTTGTTTGAATAAAGATAAATTCAAATTTTAAAATTTTAAAATTTTAATTTAGATATAAAAATTTATTTCTATCATAATAAAATTGATTTTAAAAATATATTTATATGTAAAAATTTTAAATTAAATTTTATAAAAATATAT